ACCGCATTGTAGTGTTACATCGCCGGGACCATCAGCTTGTATCCCTCCGAGCACAAGCGGATGGTAATTTGGAGCCCTTTCACTAATGTAATAGCGAAGACAACAAATCAAGAAGACTGGCAACTCTTCCATTTTCTCATACGAACGCTATGAGAGAGCAGCGTTGCCAGATATACCGATTTATCGGTATTTATACCGATTTCCGAACTAGATACCGATATACAGATAAGGTTCCTCAGAATACCGATTTTTGAGATTTTATACCGATTTATACCGATTTATTTTTAAATAATCAAATTTATTATTGACTGCCCGCGCACGAATTTCGGAGAAAATGCTTGTTAGAGACTTGTTTCTTTTTTAATACCTCATATTTTTTTAGCCTTTAAATTTCTAAACAATCATCTCTAAAGATGCCTTATGATTCGACTAATGTTTGCATTTCGTCACCGTTTTTGGCTACCCATCAATCGATAAATAGTCGATGGCTCTTTCCGGTAATTCCTAGGGAATCGAGAAATATTTTTTAAACATTATTTAACTTCCGGAAGTTTTAATTCATTTTTTAGTTTCATCCAACTTTCCCTGGAATCTTCTTCTGAACTTAGGGAAACATCATAAATATTTTGGAAACTTCACAAATCCAAAGAACTTCAGGGAAATTTAATGGTCTTCAAGAACTTAAGTGAAGCTTGGAGAACATCAGGGCAGATCAATTAATTTCAATGAAATTGCTGAAATTATAAAGGAGTTCCGAGAAACTCAGGCAATTTCCGAAAATTTTAGCAATGTCCTGAGGGGCTCATGTAAATTCAGGAAACGTAAGGGAAGTTACCTGAACATTAGAACATTTTGAGAACATTTTATGGGAAGTTCTATGCCTTTTAATGGCAGTGTCGATAACTTTTAAAAGTTAAAAAATCGTGAAGATCAGAGAACTTCAATGCTGATGTTACAATAAATTCAAGAAAATTGTGAGAACACTTAGAAGATTTCGTTATCTTCAAGAAAGTCCAGATACCTTCAAAGATGATTAAAGATATTTAGGTAGTCTTATTATAATCAGGGAAGTTCCGAGCGCTTCGAGGATGACCAGAGAACTTCAAAACAGCCCCTAGTTTCAGGAAAATTACTAGAACTTTTAAGGAATTTAGAGAAATTATGGAATATTTCAGGAATGTTCCGAAAATTTCAGAGAAATTGCGGAGTGCTTTATGAATATCAGGAAAATTTTCTGGATCATTAGAACATCCCCCAGGAATCTCTTTATCCCTGAATTATGTCCTTGTTTCTTTCGACTGTTCCGTAAGCGCTCTGGCTTCCGACTTTCTTCAAATGTTTCTTCCAGTCTACCTTAAGAAGTTTCTGTCAGCGTCTCAAGGAAGTTTCTTTCGTCTTCTCCAGGAAGTTCAATTAATTCTCCCAGAAATTCAATTCGTCTTCTTCTGGAAGTTTGACCTTAAACCAAAGGTTTATTTGATCAACTTCTATTGGAAGGTTTTTTCGAGCTTCTTCTGACTTTCCCTGGAAATGGCTACTTCTGGAAATTTACTTCCGGTTTTCGAAACTTTACGGGCTTCCTTTGGATGTGACATCCGATTTTTTCCGATAGTTTATTTAAATTTTCGCCACAAGTTTCTCAATTCGTGTCTTGGAAGTTTCCCGGATGTTTTTCCAGCATTTATCGAACTTAATTCAGGAGAGCTTCTCTCGTCTTTCTCTGAATGTTTTATTTTACAGCTCCATTCAGAAGCTAATTCAAAGATTTCCCGGAGTTTCTTCCGTTATTTTCCGATCATACACACTCAAATTGTTTCGCCGAGATTCCAACAGCCGAGTAGTTCTGAAATTTATTTTACTGAGGTTCAGTAAAACAATTGCCGAGACGCAGCTAACAAATATCATTTTGCTGAGATATCAGCTAACAAACAGATATTTTGCAGATATATCATCAAAAGTAAATGCCGAGGTAATCGGCTGTTGGAGATTTTACCGAGCTAGATTAAGTGTGTAGTTCAAAAATTTTGGCTTTCTCAGTCTTAAAACACTGCAACGACTACCATGTTATCTGCCGGACATTTCAAGAGAAAATATTGTTTGTCGTTGTTGTGGCTGATTTTCCATATTTTGGTTTCATTTAATGATATTTAATTGAAAAAAAACACTGCTTGGTCACAATTTTGATTACCACTTAAGGACAACGATAGTTTTAAAAATAAAATTAAAAAATAAAGGGTGTTTTGAGACTGATAAAGAAGTCAAACAAAGCAATTCCCTTCAAATTCCAGTCGTCACCATCGTTAAAACTTTCGCTTTCAAAAACGGCAAAATATAAAATTAAATAAATAGAAAATACCGATAAATACCGATTTTTAATACCCTTGATACCGATAAGCTTTAAAACAATCTGGCAACGCTGTGAGAGAGGTACAATCGCGTAATCTGCCGCTCAAAGGTAAATGCTTCGAACGAATTTGATAGCAAAGATTACATCCTCAGAAGAAGGGTTTGAGTATTTGCGAGAGTATTTGCTCATTTTTCTATGCGTTGCTTCCACCTTCACTCAAGCGCAGCGCCATTGTATCTGTCGCTTGAATTCTGGCTAAGTTGCCAGTCTTCTTGATTTGTTGTCTTCGGTAATAGCAACAATCAATACGAAACTAACGATGTTAAATTGGGTCACTACTTGACTAGCCCATTGGTCCCAAGAAAACGATTAACGTACCCCATTCTAGTCGAAATTCTAGTACTACACAATGTTTGTTTTGATTCGCTGTGAAAGTTTGACAGATAAAATGAGGGGTTAGTGGATTTTCCTATGTTTCGAGGTGAATCGATTAGCTTGGGACCGACGAGAGTACCAGAGCTGAGCCAAAAAGTTATGTAATAGTCTATAATCCCCCGCAAGGAATCCCTTTACGAAGAACGGCGAAAGTTTCTCCTTCCTTTCCACTTCCGGTTCATCGCCATGTTGACAATATGGCATAACGATTGTTCGCCACCAGTTTCTACGATCGGGATCGTTTTTCGGTCTGAGTTGTAGTCGCGTAGTCATGCTCTAGGGTCGTGCGATGCTTCACCAAATACCGCAAAAGCGAGAGCGCGATTACTATCGCAACGAACTTTCTGAACTACTCGAGAGAGCGAGCTAAAACCAAACTGCACTGCTTGACGGTCAAGCAGTGAATCATCCTGATTTTATGATTCAACGCGACGAGCAACAATTAAATTGATGAGCTATGCTATTTCATGTTTGGACCTGATCGATGGAACGGTGCTTCTATGAGAACGCGTGTATAGTTGTTGGATTTTCTAGCAGCCACTCACTGCTGTTCTAAGCTGATGATGTGTTGTGTTATGGGTAGTGAATCATTGGGATGCGAATAAATAATAATAAAATAAATTAAATTCTAAATTTTAACTGTCGCGTAAAATCGTCTCTCGTTTAATTTTGAGCTACAGTTCGCATAAACAGCACAATTGTTTACAAGCTGTCATACAACGTTGTTGATTTAGGCGTATACTAAATTAGATACATTACAGCTGAGTTCATGTGGGTTTACGATGAAATATTCAGCAACTGACTGAAACTAGGTGTCTAATCACCGATTGAATTTACAAATAGAATTTGACTTTGAAGTTCTTGCACGTGATGTACGATGAATTAAATTTGAACTATGTTGCTACTGGTATGATGAATTGAATTCCGCTTCGTTCCATTTCCTTTCCAGACCAATAAATTTGCTTCCACCGAACCACTATGCCACAAACAAAAGCAGCACAAGAAAGCTTGTTTGATTTCTATACACTGGATAACGATACCGCCTTCTAGAAACAAATAGCTACACACGAACCAGAGCACTCGGAGTTAAACAAGGCTACCGAAAGTTGTCTCGTTGTTACATTAGATTCACTCTTCTACATAGAACCACAGAACACCCGTGCCATCTTTGATGTTCTTAGAATAAACCATACCACTGGAACATCACGATGTACGTAATACCAAAGTGTTCAAAGATGTAATTTATGTAACACTTGTGCCTTTACTCTATTCGTTCAACGACAACACCCACAATAGTTTGACATTGACTTCCAATCGCCAGTTCAGGAATGCAATTTTCTCCTTAACCAGGGGTTTTCAGATCGTGCTTCGCCAGGCCTTTACTAGTGCTCCAAATAGAGGCTTTTATGAAACATGAAATTTGATTATGTAAAGTTATGATTTTCGTCGATTTCGTTATTATTCAAAATCCTAATTTTTATTTTCTGGTATTCAGGCTCTATATGATCGAATTTATAATAAAATCTATCAGAAAAATGGCGTTGAGACGTTTTACCTGTAACGTTTTACCTTTATCTAGTTTATGCCAAATCACCATTATGCCAAATTACAGTAAGCCAAAAGGGGTTTAGCCATTCGAAGAAAAAAAACTTCTAACGGTTTAATATGATCCAAGACACTTCAGAAATTTGACGGTCAAATCAAAGGCAATCATAATCGAAATGAAATCCACTTTTTTTTTAGTAGAATTCACAAATCCTAGATGCATTTGACGAACGTTGACAGTTCTAAAGGTTTTCTACATGAAATGAGGTCAAATTTGACTTTGACGTGCACTTATCCATTGCAGATATTAAAAACAGTTGAAAGCCCATTGTGGATCAAGGAGACCGAATTTAAGAATCCAAATTTGATGATTGTTTGTTCATTGAATTGAAGGATTCTCGCCAATTTGTTATATTTTGCCTTGTAGATCTGCAGTCATTCTTGAAAATTCTAGCAAAATCGGTGCTCCACGAAGCACATTTCTCTCGAATAGCGCTCCGTGGCTTGACCAGCTTGCAAAACCCCTTGCCTAGCCATATCGAATCGCACGCTTGCACGTTTGTAAACGTGATTTCATTATGTTCTGCTATCACGAACCACCCAGGAGTGTTCTCTCGACGATACAAAAGCGATAATCCCCGTTATCGCTTTTCAAGCATCTATCTGCACCTACCTCCACAAAATTCTTCAGCATCCGAAATCGAACTCCGGATCGTTGTTTGGCAGCGTTTCCATGGTGCACGGTAGGGCCCATGGAATCCATTCCTGCACCACCGCCGCCGCCTCCGCCACGGTAGTGCAGGACGTTGTTGCCGTAACTGGAATAGCAGTAGTTGTTGTTGGCACCGGTGGAGGCTGTGGAGCAACAGCCACGGTTCAGATTGGAGTTGGAGCTGATGATGGGTGGCGTTGCGGTTAAAAGATAGCAGCCGGATTCCTGGGACCGGGATGGGAGCAATTTTGAACCCGCCACGGCGTTCATCGAAGTCGGCGTTGAGTTGGTGATTCGCACTGGAATGGAAGGATGTGATTCGATGAGGTGAATTCCCAAGTAACAATTAGGGTTTTATAGATTGCTTTAAAACCACAATAAAACTTGCACCCACTATAGATCCGTTTGCGTTGCGTTGACGTAAATTTGACAGTTAGACAATAGATTTAGCTGTCACTTTCCGCTGCGCATCAGATCTGGATCTAATGTGATATCTTAGTCTTATACCCCGTACATATATTACAATGAGCACTCATAAATCTAGTTTTCACTGGAAATCCTATATATGAGTGCTCATTGCAAGCCAGCTTATATTACATGATATAAGCTATAGTCTGTCCGGGGTACTAGTCGTAGAGATAAGTAGACAAATTATGGTAGAATTTACGGAAAATTTTGGTAGAATTTGCAGGCCAATTCAGGAAGAATTTTAAGGCAAATTCTGGTAGAATTTGCAGTATAAATTTGATAGAATTTGAAAACAAATTCTATTAGAAATTTCAGGAACATTCTAGTAGAATTTGTGTACAAATTTTACTAGAATTTGTACACAAATTCAAGTGAAATTTGCAAGTAAATTCTACTAAAACTTGTATACAAATTCCTGTAAAATTTGCAAAAAAAATCTTATAGAATTTGTAGACAATTCAAGAAGAATTTGTAGAAAAATTCTAGAGGATTTTTTAGACAAATTCTGGTAAAATTTGTAGACGAATTCTAGTAGAATTTAAAGACAAATTCTGGAAGAATTTTTAGACCAATTCTGGAAGAATTTGTAGACTAATTCTGGAAGAATTTGCAAGCCAATTCTTGTAGAATTTGTAAGCTAATTCTTGCAAAATTTAGAAGCAAATTCTTGTAGAATTTGTAAACAAATTCTTGCATAATTTGTAGACAAATGCTAGAAGAATTTGTTAGAAAATTCTCGCAAAAACTGCTAGAAAATTCTGGTAGAATTTAAAATGAGATTCTTGTAGAATTTGCAATCAAATTATTTAAGATTTTGTCGGGAAAATTTTGGGTAGATTTTGTAATCAAATTCTTTTAGATTTGTGATCAGAAAATTATTGTAGAATTTGTAATCGAATTTTTAAAGATTCGCATAGAATTTGTAAGCAAATTCGTTTAGTGTTTGTAATACAATTCTTGTAGAATATGTATACAAATTCATGAAGAATTTATCAGGAAATCCTTGTATATTTTTTCAACCAATTATTTTAGAATTTGTTAGCATATTCTTGTAGAATTTGAAAGCAAATTCATGTAGAATTTGAAAGCAAATTCTTATAGAATTTGTCAGAAGATTCTTGTAGAATTTGTCAGCAGATTCTTGCAGAATTTGTCATCAAATTCGTTTGGAATTTGTCACAAAATTCTTGTAGAATTTGTCAGGGAATTCTTGTAGAATTTTTCAGGAAATTTAGGAAATTTTAGAATTGATCAGAAAATTCATGTATTCTTGTAAAATTTGACAGTATTTTTTTATAAAATTTGTCAGCAAATGCTTTTAAAATTTGTCAACAAATTCTTGTACAATTTGACAGCAAATTCTTGTAGAATTTTGAAGCAAATTCTTGTCAAATTTGACAGAAAATTCTTGTAGAATTTTACAGCAAGTTTTTCTCTAATTTGTAGATATTTTTCATAGAATTGGAAGACAAATTCTAGTAGAATTTGTAAGTAAATTCTTTTAGATTTTGAAAACAAATTCTTGCAGATTTGTAGGCAAGTTCTTATATAATTCTTAAGAATATTATTGTAGATTCTTGTAAATTGTGTAAGTCAATTCACATAGAATTTGTTAGCAAATTGTTGTAGAATTTATAAGCAAATTCAAACAAAATTTCTAAGGAAATTCTAGAAGAATTTTTATGCACATTCTTGAATAATTAGAAAGCAAATCCCTAGTAAAAAAATTCTTGTTGAATTGGCTAGCAAGTTCTTCTAGAATGTGTAGATAAATTCTTGGAAAATTTGTAGATTGATTCATGGAGAATTTGTCAGAAAATTATTGTAGAATATGTCTGTTAATTCTTGTAGATTTTTGTTTGATTTTGTTTTGATTCTTGTTTACAAATTCTTGTATAATTTGAAGACAAATTCTAGAAGAATTTGTAAGCAACCTTTCGCAGAAACTTAAGTCAAATCCATTTAGAATTTACTATCAAACTTTTGTAGAATTTGTAATCAAACTCTTGCAGAATTTGTAATCAAATTCTTGTAAATGTTGTAATCAAATTCATGTATATTTTGTAAGCAAATGCTTGAATGAATTTGTCAGAAGTCTCTTGTAGAATTTGTCAGCAAACGATTGAAGAATTTGTAATCAAATTCTGTATCTTAGTGAATTTGTCATTGAATTCATGTTGCGTGTTTCAGCAAAATCATGAAGAATTTGTCTGCATATTCTTGTAGAATTGGTTATCAAACTCTTGCAGAAATTGTCATTCAATTATTGTAGATATTATAATCAAGTTCATGTAGGTTTTCTGAGCAAATTCTTGTAGAATTCTTCTACGAATTGCTGTAGAATTGGGCAGAAAATTCTTGCAAGAATTCTTGTAGAATTTGTTTCACATTCTTGTAGAATTTGTATTCAACTTCATGTTGAATTTGTAGTTAAATTCTTGTAAAATTTGAAGTCAAATTCTTGTAGATTTTGAAGTCAAATTCTTGAAGAATTTGAAGTCAAATTCTTGTAGAATTTGCAGTCAAATTATTGTAGAATTTGCAGTAAAATTATTGTAGAATTTGAAGTCAAATTCTTGAAGAATTTGAAGTCAAATTCTATTAGAATTTGAAGTCAAATTCAATTAGAATTTGAAGTCAAATTCTATTAGAATTTGAAGTCTAATTCTATTAGAATTTGAAGTCAAATTCTATTAGAATTCGAATTCAAATTCTATTAGAATTTGAAGGCAAATTCTATTAGAATTTGAAGGCAAATTCTATTAGAATTTGAAGGCAAATTCTATTAGAATTTGAAGGCAAATTCTATTAGAATTTGAAGTCAAATTCTATTAAAATATAAGTGAAATTCTATTAGAATTTGAAGTCAAATTCTTGTAGAATTTGCGGTAAAATTCTTGTAGAATTTGCAGAAAAATTCTTGTAGAATTTGTAAGCAAATTCTTGTAGAACTTGCAGTCAAATTCTTGTGGAATTTGTAGTAAATTTTTTGTAGAATTTGTTGTCAAATTCTTGTAGAATTTGTTGTCAAATTCTTGTAGAATTTGTTGTCATATTCTTGTAGAATTTGTAGTCAGATTATTTTAGAATTTGTAGTCAAATTCTTGTAGAATTTGTAGTCATGTTCTTGATGAATTTGAAGTCAAATTCTTGTAGAATTTGAAGTCAAATTCTTGTAGAATTTGAAGTCAAATTCTTGTAGAATTTGAAGTCAAATTCTTGTAGAATTTGAAGTAAAATTCTTGTAGAATTTGCAGTAAAATTCTTGTAGAATTTGAAGTCAAATTCTATTAGAATTTGAAGTCAAATTCTATTAGAATTTGAAGTCCAATTCTATTAGAATTTGAAGGCAAATTCTATTAGAATTTGAAGTCAAATTCTATTAAAATATAAGTGAAATTCTATTAAAATATAAGTGAAATTCTATTAGAATTTGAAGTCAAATTCTTGTAGAATTTGCGGTAAAATTCTTGTAGAATTTGCAGTAAAATTCTTGTAGAATTTGCAGTAAAATTCTTATAGAATTTGCAGTCAAATTCTTGTGGAATTTTAAGTCAAATTCTTGTAGAATTTTCAGTTAAAATATTGTTGAATTTGTAGTCAAATTCGTGTAGAATTTGTAGTCAAATTCTTGTAGAATTTGAAGTCAAATTCTTGTAGAATTTGAAATCAAATTCTTGTAGAAATTTGAAGTCAAATTCTTGTAGAAATTTGAAGTCAAATTCTTGTAGAAATTTGAAGTCAAATTCTTGTAGAATTTGAAGTAAATTTTTTGTAGAATTTGCAGTAAAATTCTTGTAGAATTTGCACTAAAATTCTTGTAGAATTTGAAGTCAAATTGTTGTAGAATTTGAAGTTAAACTCTTGTAGAATTTGAAGTCAAATTCTATTAGTATTTGAAGTCAAATTCTATTAGTATTTGAAGTCAAATTCTATTAGAATTTGAAGTCAAATTCTATTAGAATTTGAAGTCAAATTCTATTAGAATTTGAAGTCAAATTCTATTAGAATTTGAAGTCAAATTCTATTAGAATTTGAAGTCAAATTCTATTAGAATTTGAAGTAGACCTGTGCGCCGATCAAAATATTTTCGGCGGCGGCGTGATATGTTATTTTCTGCCGGCGGCGGCGGCGTGGCGGCGTCACGCCGTTTGCTTTCGGCGGCGGCGGCGTGGCGGCGTGGGTCGGCGTGAGTTTATTTCACCTGATTTAGAAAAAAAATCTTTCCAAACCAATCGCACATTGACAAAAAATGCTACCCATATTTGATTTCAGATTACTGGAAATCGCTAAAACGTAGGTCACTCAGAGTTTGAGTAAATTTTCCGACACTTTTCCGGGGAAAACTTCTCGAATACAGGGAAAAATTAAGAAAATTGTACACAGGGTAGAAGTGTACTAGAAGACTGATTAAAACCTCAATCAGTTTTTCTCATATTCGAGAAGTTTTCCTCAGAAAAGCGTCGGAAAATTTATTCAATCTATGAGTGACCTACGATTTCGCGAATTTGAGTAATCTGAACTCTCATGCTGCGTTAGTGTGGTGGTCAGAATCAAAAGAGGCTACTGCACAGAGGAAACTAGCAAAACTTCAACGTCTAGCATGCATTGCAATAACGGGTGCGGTGCGTAGCACCCCATAAAAAGCATTAGAAGCAATCCTCAATCTGCTGCCCTTTTATGAACATGTGCCAGGTGATCTTGTTGGTCATCTAAGCATCTTCCCGAGTAGCACACTTTCATCACAATAAGTTACAGCAACTTGTTTATGACTGTAATAAGTCGTATATAAGTTTCTACAATTGAATTGTAACACTACTAGGGTTACAAT